AGGAAGATGTGCTCGACAGAGACAAGTGGAGAAGAGCAACCAAAGCAGCTGACCCCAGGACAGTCTGGGACTGAGGCTGTGAAAAAGAAGAAGAAGAAGAAGCTCAAAGCGCTTTACAGGTAATGGGGACTCCCCTCCACCACCACCAATGTGCAGCATCCGCCTGGATGATTAACTTTCTTAATTAAATAAGATATGATGCCCAACTGGGATTTTTGTGAAGGTCTTTTGCAGTTGAGGACTGAAAAAAAAAAACAGTACAAGTACAGCTCCTTACAGTATAAACCAACGTCAAGCCCAGCAGGAAGTATCAGTAATACTACAAGTACAGTTATAAATCACCCCCAGGCCAGGTAGGAAGTATCAGTAATTGTGCTGTTCATAAAAATCAGAGGACCTGGCTGGTGGTACATGGGCGCTCGGGCAGATCAGACACCAGGGGGCACTTCTGCTCTTAACGTTTCTTTCTGTTTTGCGGGGGCAGTGAGGGGACGCTTTTCCTTCCAGACCTCTCCTTTAAGAGCAGCCTGTGCCTTTAACAGCTCCACCTGGGCACACCTGCGTCTCGTCTCGGCGAGAGAGAGACACACGGAGGCTTCGCGGCACGCTGAGTAAGTGGCGTTATAATCGTTATAATCGTTATAATGTCTTCTCGAGAGCACCGGACGTAGAGCGAGCGGGCGTTGAACGTTTGATGAAACATGTCCACATGGTTTCGAAGCGTCATGAACTGGCTGCCGAGTTTGGACTAAAGTGCTCAGTGTGACTTGGCTATCGGAGACGACACACTACGCCTATGCCCGTCTCACTAATACTTATCTCCACGCATTTCTCCCCAAATAACATAACTTTTTTTTTGAAAGAAGGTCTTCTGATAAACAAATGCTTCCTGTAGGCTCCCACTTCCCCCTCTCGCATTCCGAACGTTTGGTAAAAAAACAACAACTGGAGTTCAGCCAATGACAAAAGGCTTTTGGAATGAATGGCGTGTTACCTGACCAATCGAAGGGAAGGATTGATGACTGGGTGGGGCTTTACCTGCATAACTAACAACACCCTGTATGAAGAAACCTTCTCTGTCAGTTTTAACTGGCTTACCTGTAGTTTCCACTCGTGTCCTGACAACATGTCTCTAGCAGTGTCTCCAGTCCAGTCAGGGGGGTGTCAGTGTGTGAATTCAGGGGCAGTGTGAGAAGAGAGGGACAGCAGTGTCTCCAGTCCAGTCAGGGGTGTGTCAGTGTGTGAATTCAGGGGCAGTGTGAGAGGAGAGGGACAGCAGTGTCTCCAGTCCAGTCAGGGGTGTGTCAGTGTGAGAGGAGAGGGACAGCAGTGTCTCCAGTCCAGTCAGGGGGGTGTCAGTGTGTGAATTCAGGGGCAGTGTGAGAGGAGAGGGACAGCAGTGTCTCCAGCTAGCTTGTACAAACGGCTTGTTTGAGTAACACAAACAAATTCTTTCCAAATTCTTGTATCAACTTGTTTTCCTAGTTCCTTATTCTGTTGGGTCGAAAACATACCTGCCGGGTCCTGGAAAGTCCTCGGAATAACTGTGGAAGGAAGCCCAGGACAGGCAGCAGAGACCAGTCCCAGGATGCCCGGTCGGATGACCGCGAACCCCGAATCGGAGCCGCTCTTGGACGAGGGGAAGGACCGTCCTCTTGAAAATGGCTCGCTGAGCTCTGTACCCCTCAAACCAGGCCTGACGGGAGAGGGGGCGCAGGAGACGGAGAAGAAGGAAGAGATGGAGGGGGAGGAGGAGGAGGGAACCAGGAAGGGAGAGGGGGAGGAGGAGAGGGGAGTGAAGAAGGAAGTAGGAGAGGAGGAGG